GGCTCTTTTCTGCAGATACATATAATGTACAATCATCTGCATACATAGCAACGCCTGCCTTTTTTATGCTTTTATGTCTTTTAAGTTTAACATACTTTCATTACTGAGATAGGCTACCATGGATCACGCTCACTGAATGGACTCTGTGGCACCAAACTGATTAAAATGAAAGCTTGGGAGGGATGCCAAATAGCTATGTGCATAAAAGGACTGAAAAGGGAACATTGCAATTAAGTGTTGGATGTGGAGTGCCATGGGTTATTGTGAAGCATAATTAGCGTCACAGTAATACAGTGTAAAGGTAGGGTAGGTTTATAATAAATTCTTAAAAAATAAAATAATGCTCTTATCTGTAATGTGGTGGCACATACTGGTGGCAGTACTACAACTGGGTTTTAACACAGCCTGGTTTTAATGTTTGTTTTATGACAGCTTGTTGATTTCCAAGTGTCGCTGTATGGTTATGTATACAGAACAAGTGGCAACCTCCAGTCTCAATTACCACTGAAAATGTTTGTCATATGTCTGTGTACCTGTAGTATAGTGTTATCTGGATCATTAGATTAGGATTATCTAAATAACAATTAATCTCATCAGTAGGAGTAATCAGTGGACATTGTATGACATTAACAGAATCACTTCTCAACATAATTAAGGTATTCCCCCGGCAGCTGAGAAGCAGCAAAATGGCGCTTATTGTATTTGCATTTACAATACATCTCTTTGACTTAACTTTTTGTACTTCAATTTATTTATTTATTTTAAAATAAGGTAAACGAAAGTGTGAGTGGAACTAAATGCTCAATAAATGTTACTCAATCATTCAAGAACTATATAGTACACGATGATGTTTTTCTAGGGAATAAATCTTGAATTTCTGAACTATTAGTTTTGATTAGCTCATATGTCAATTAACATGCCGACCATTTTCTTCATGAGTCCTGATCGGTTGTCTGTGAATGAGCCACTGAGCAGCACAACACTAATGATTACTTAATCATAACCAGAATCATGTGTCCTCTGCCTGTAAATACATCTAACATTTACTCAACTCAGGACTGAACACTTTCTTTTAAACCACTGTTTAAAGGTACTTTTGTTTGCATCATATCATAAGAAGAAGAAAAAACAAAGATTTTGTCCAAGAAATTCTTTAAAAATATATTGCTAAATTATATTGTGTTTTTCTACTGAAGTTCTTTCCACAGATTGATGTTATCTAATGGGCTCCTGAAATAAGTTGGATCAGAACTGCATCCGTAGCAACAGGCAGTTTTTCACATTCGCAGTCAGCGCTAAAAGAATTACATAAACATACTATAGACTGCTATAACTGACCAATCAGAATTAAGTGTTCAAAACAGCTGAGTATTAACATGATTAAATGCTAAATAGAACAACAACATAGCAAGAAATTAACCATTGCTAGCTAAGGCAGGTGGTTAGCAAAACATTGCTACAGTTGATGCTGCTTGATGACACAGAATAATGTTAACAGTAACAAGGAGATTTAAAGCGAGTCCGGCCTGGACTTTGACAACGGGCATGAGGTCAGAAGTGCCATTTCTCAAAGCTGTGTGGGTTTTTGTTCATGTAATGAAGTTGTGTTTATGCACAATAGACAGTGGGAGAAACACTGCTCCAGTGGTGTTTATCAGTATGTGGTTTAATAAAAAAAAATGTACTTCCCCGTCTCCCTCACACATCTGTCAGTCCAGCTCCAGAAACCTGAGCATGGGTCAGTGAGAGCAGCCCCATGATACATAGAGCCAAGCGATGTGCTTCCATCCCCCCTGGAGTCAAACTGAATGTCCACCGCTCGTTGTAATGAGATTTACGATTATGAACAGTTTTTGAAATGTAACTCTCCCTCGTACAAACGTAAGATACAAACGTTTTTTCTTTTCTTGGGGATTTTTGTGTCTATAATGAAGAGATAGGACAATGGATAGAGTCAGAAACCAGGGAGAGAGACAATGCGGAATGACATGCAGGAAAGGAGCCACAAGTCGGATTCGAACCTGGGCCACCCACTTGCAGGACTACAGCCTCCGTACATGGGGCATGTTTATCACTAAGTTACCAGCACCCCGAGGTACATCATTTTTTAAATTATCAAGGGAAATATATAGTGTTTTGCCAAAATAAGAACAGTTCCCCCACCTTGGATTGTATGTGTCTCTACGTTATGTCCATTATAACAAATAGGAATAATTGGAAAAGAATAAATCATCTAGAATTCAATAAAAATGTAATTACTTGGAATAATAAAATTACTGTTTATGAGGTAATGTTCATTTCACAGCAGCTGTTAAGAAGCCAGAATTAACCTGAATGTGTTTGCAAAGTTTAGGGGGGAATAAAAGATTTGTCCGATCACGTCTGTGTGAGATTTTTATAATTAATGTGTGTTTCTGATGTTATGAAAATAAGCGGATAACTGATGATGTACGTCGCTTTGGATATGTGTCTGCTAAATGAATTGTAGAATTGTAGGATAAAACTGAAATCTGCGATCAACATTTTCATACAGTGGCCTGAGTGTGTTCAGGTGCACAATATCTTCATTCAGTTTTGGTTTTGTTTTTATGGTTGTGAGTATAAATGTTTCATGGTTGAAGTCCACAGAATAGGCTGAACAGGGTGGTGTGACTAAAGTTTCAGTTAGAGGGAGAGAAGAGAGAAAGAAGGGGAGCTGCAGCCTGTTAACAATCATTTCGCATCACTGATCTACCCCCAGAAAAAATTGATTAAATTAAATTAAATTGCACATTGTCGTAAATTATATTACAACAAGCGGCGCACGTTCCGTTTGACTCCAGGGAAGACCGTAGCACGGGACTGGGTTTGGCTTCACGCCTCCCGAACTCTCTCTGCTTCCCCGCTCAGGTATCTGGAGATGGACGCTAACAGATGCAGGACGGAGACAGGGAAGTGAAATTATTATCAAACCACATACCAATAACTTTATGACATGTATAAAAAACCAACACAGGTTTAAGAAATAGTGTATTTGACAGATAGTGTGGCTAAGTAAGCTGCCCAGCTACTGGTACTGGTACAGGATTTAAGACCACCAAGAGATTGAAGCTGTCAGGTGGATAGCCAAGAGATCAATAGCGAGTTCAACCTGGACCTGGGAAAGCATGGTGAGTCAGGCTGCGGGGGCAAACTGAATTGCTGTGTTTTTTTTTTTGTTTTTTTTTAAAAAAAGGTTCTTCTGTCAAGACAGGAGAACATAGGAAACAGCCAATTTTCTCTGACACTGACAGTAGTCCAGAATTACAAATCAAACACTGGCTCTGAAGGTGGCCTTCGGTAAATTTGAGAAAAAATAAAAATGATTCTCTGATACGCTTGCAGGGGAGGGGTGAAAAGTGAAAAACGTAACAGACTGGTAATCTAATAGGAAAAGATTTACTAAATACTCATTAGCACCTTAGTATAGTTAATATGATAGACTAGGGCCACTTGTATCACCTACAAAAAAAATGCAGCAAAATGTAGATTAAGAATGAACAAATTCATAATGTATAAAATCTGAACAGTAATCCTCCTGTCCCAAAGTATCAACAGCTGTACTTCTGCTATTCATACATTTCTTCTTCTACATTTCTATTTTATTATAACGTATGGTTCAATTTAGTGTGGGCTAACTGTGCATTTATAGTAGGCCTATTTTGTGTTTGTTTCTCAGGCATATTATCTGAATACCTTTTCAACTACACTTCAACATTTTTGGGCAGACATAGTATGTCTCTGATCCCAGTCCGTGCTGATTGACCAGGACATCAGAAATGATGCAGAGACACATGACATGTTTTCTGGTAACATCGAACTGGCCATAAGTTTGGAGCGAGAAGCTTGTAAGCAGTTTCTCCTCCCTACCTGAAAGCTATTTAATCATATCAGAGGCTCCCCAGCTCACCTCTGGTCCTTCTCCATCTGTCTGCTGGTCTGCCATGTGATCATAATTCACCATATTGGGGTATAAGCTACATTAAGTTATTTAAACTGTTATACTGCCAGCCATGTTAGCTCTAATCAAATTATATAAACATTACTGCAGCTTGAATAAACATCCCTGAGCACTGGTGTGTTCAATGGTCCATTTGTCCTTCCTGTTTCCTTCTGTACCAGTCTCATTTGCTGACCTGGTGTCTGATAATGGATCACACATCAACAGGACATTAAGGATCATGCCCCCCCCCCCCTTTCAAACAGCACCTGACCACAGGCTGTCCTCCCCCTGCCGTCAGGATGGGCTTATATCGATCATATGGAGGTAGACACTGAGCACTGTATGGTGTAGGGATGGCGTCAAGGTCATTTGAGGGTAACTGAGAAAATAACACGTCTTCTTAGCAGGAGCCGCCTGAAACCACATCAAACTGTCCTGTTTGTTCCTCACACACAGGGAGAGATTTTACGTTTTATTCAGGGCTAGCTGTGTTTAAACATGCATCGATAGGCTTTCTAATCGATAATCTGCTGCAATCTAACCACGATACAGCCAATAGTTTTTCCGAAACAGTACGTGTGCTCGAATAGAGTCCAAATAACTGAGTGCACAGCAATGTGACACGCTCTCCGAATTACAGCACGTGTTAGCACCTCCGAATAACAAGAATAACAATGTCAACAACATCCTCCGCATACAGCATCACTCTGCAGAGAAGGAACCCCAATACAAATGGGCATCCTGGGATAACATTTATAGTCAATTTACACATAAAATGTGCAACAGAAAAAATGAAAAAAAAAATGAAAAAGATTGCAGCCTGCATGGACATGTATGGGGAAAAGCAACAGTAGCAAAGGCAGGGTGATGTTATGGTTGTTAATAGTTCTACAGCGGGCACATTTATAGTGAATTTCTTGGGAGCTGAGTATTTCAAACTAGGGTAACAGTTGATGGAGCTTGTGTACAGTCTGCACTTTACCATCATGTAGTGTCAAAGCAACACGCAATGCATTTATACAAATAAAGGGCACTTTACCTGGTAGCTCAGTATGCTTTCTGGATCGTTGATAGGCATGCTGGTGGCCTCTGGGATAACCTGCTCACCGTTCCCGGGGTGTAAAGGTGAGACTTTCTTAGAGCTGATCAGCCTCTCAGCGTTTAAGGACGTGTTGTTCCAGCAGTCACGAGTTGGTAACAGCAGCTACTTCTGTTTCTGCAGACATGTTTAGTTGCGTGTCAGTTTCTCTACCAAATGAGGAGAACGGTAAAATGGATAATTAACCCCCCCCTTGTGTTGTGATGATTTCCCGACCGCGCTTCCAGTTTCCCTCCCTCCTGCCCTGTCGATGGTGGGAGCAGGATGCAGAGAGCATCGCTGCAGCGTCAGCCAATCAGAGCACAGAGGCGCACAATGGGCTGCGACGCACTGCTGCTAACCCAGCACAATGAAGCCAAGACTATTGCAGGCTTCTGGAGATACGTCACTTTGTACAATGTGGAGTGGAGCAGCTTCTTAACTTTCAGCTGTTAAGACTTGGTGGACTAAATGAACGCTGTGCAAATAAATGAAGTGGATCTGTTGGTCTCGTTTGTCAGTAGGCTAATACGTTTGCATGCTGTAATGCTTCAGATAAAACTTTGGTTGAATTTAGATTTAGGAAAATAATAATAATAACTTTATTTATATAGCACCTTTTAAAAACACAGGTTTACAAAGTGCTTTGACAAACAGCAAGAACAAAGCAAACTAAACCAAACACAGAAAAACATTAACAACAGTAAGAATATAACAGATGCAAAATACCAAAAATAATTAAATACAATTCAACAGAAAAGAACCCAAAGTGCACGATACACAACCAGACATATATAACCCGACCATCACAAGAACCATCATAAGAACCATCATAAGAACCCAGGAAACACAAGAACCCAACAACACGAGCTGAGACCAAGTATCAATGTAAGTGCAGCAAAAGCTCATCAGATTCCAAAAACAGTAACCTAACCAATAACAAATTCTGAATTCAGATCTGATCGGTTTCTTGAATGAGAGAACGGCTACATGATAGCAAAATATACTTAGACGTAAATATGACAAACTATAGGGTTATGTGTTTATTTAGCAAACTAATCGAACGTAAGTAAAGTGGTTACTTTCTGTGGCTGTGTTATTGCAGGCTTAAACATGCCATTTCCCATTGCCTACTCTATCATTAACCAAACAAGAAGAAGAAATGATAAAATACTTCAGTATTCAAACACAAATGCAAAAGTGAGCTGTGTGCACATCGTATAGGCTAAATGAGAAAAAAACATGAGCCACGTTATGGCATAGTAGGCTCGATCCCGTAATCTGTAATATCCTGTAATATTCAGTAATATTTACAGGCTATGATCCTGTCACACTAAGCAGTAGAAGTCACTCGAAAGCCTACGATACCCCCTTGTGGTGATGATATGTATGTGTGTTCATGTAGCCTAAACATGTGACCGTGACAGATGCTTATTATTGAAGATGCAAGACAGTCAGATTTTCAAAGATGGTCAACAATACATCTGAACCTGACCAACAGTAAATTGCCTCAGCATTTACGATTACATTCCAAACAATTAGTATTTTTACCTGCTCCATTAACACTTGGTTGAATTTAGCTCAGATTGACCCTCCTCAAATCGTCAACGTCCTGTAACGCACGGCTAAAAGATTAAGATGGTAGATTTTGTCCTGTTCCTCCCAGATACTGTTGCCATGGTAAACACAAACGTTGTGTTGGAGCATGTACAGTTGAGCGAGACTGCTTTACACTGGGGAGATTTGTACATTAATGTCTAACATAGGCTAAAATCTCTCCTGTTTTTGATTTGTATGTAGGCATAGGCTATTCTGAAGTTGTGTTTATTCATGTCTGACAGCTGTCATAAATTCAGAAAGTTATTCGTTTGTTGTGTTTCGGATTTTTGATTTAAATTTAAGTGCATCTGGGTAGGCTATGTAAATATAAAGCTATGATAACCTGCTCTGTCCAGCCTAAATTTCCATCCCTTCTCTCTCTCTCTCTCTCTCTCACTAATGTATCCCAGTTCAATAATCCACAGTGGATCCAGTGGAGGGGAGGTCAAGCACAAGAACTAAAAACTAGCTAAGAACCCCTAAAATGCTGGTGGAGAGGATGATCATGTCTGTCTGTGCTGATTTTACTAGTGAGACAAAAGGTTGTTAAAAGGGCAAAGTCCTAAAAACTACAAAATCAGACATTCATTTTGAGAAAACATAATGAATTGTTCAGGCCAATAAGAAACTGAAACCTCAGCAGCCTTAAAGTCCGTGGGAAGACAACCAAAGAATACATCTGAAGAATAACTTTATGTTGCCTATTGTTTTTACCTTTACAATAGTCATCAGAGTTCTGTTGGTTGTTTCATTGATCATTTATCTATGAATAGGTCAATAATACTCTAATCTTTTAACCTTCAAAGATTTAAATGTTAGAGGGTCTGAACCGGTCCGAACACCTATTCGAAGGTTCTGAGAGAGACTACAGGAGCTCTTAGGTATTGTGTAAAGAGTTGTATTATATATTTTAAAAAATATTGATAAAAATGTAACATGTTGTTTAGCCAGTTGCTAGAAATGTAAACATCCCTGTGGAAAGGAAAAGTGGTATGTTCCAATTAGTGGAAAGATTTAAAAGGCTGCTTAATGTTATATGGGGTTGTTGCTGCTTGTGGGAGCCACACTGTTTCTGCTATGCTGTTACACCAATAAATTCTAGCAGTTGATTTGCACCATTTTTTGCATCATGCCTTCATCACTAATATCCAGCTGTACAGTGGTCATTCCTCACAACAGTATGTATAGGGTGAATACGATGGGACACTTTCTGAAATGTTTCCTTCTGTGTCAATTATAATTATGATTTAATTGCGAAATCCCCTCATATTATACCATTCTAAATAGCTTAAGGGCTATATATAGAAGAAAAAAGAGAGAAATAGTAAACACAGGACGGAAAGCTCTTCCATAAACACATATTAATCCAAAACAAAAATTTCCCTGGGCCACCAGGGGGAAGTGGGACACCTTTAATTGGTAAACTGGGACACTTAAACACATTCAGTTTTTGAATTAAAAACACAATAATAGTATAAATAACAACAATTATCACTTTTGAAATAATTTGATTTTAAAATTTAAATAAGGAACCTTCGTAAAAATCTCATAGATCATAGTACACATGCTACATTTAATTGCAAACACAGGCAGAAACAAGCGTTTAGCTGGACGCTCTTAGTCCACACTTAGTAACTCACTTTCTAACAGCATCCCAACCATAGACCGTAAATAGAAAGATCCCACGACCAGGGTCACACCTCTAGCAGTTTAATCATGATTGGCATGAAGCATGCGAAATCGCTCACTTTACTCATATGGTAAACCTGCGCTTTCTGTCTTGTACATGTGTGTTTTTGTTTCTACCAGTCTATAGTTTGAACTTGCGTATGCATTCATCAGCTTCATGGCTCTATTAAAGCCAGAAATAGATGCAGGGTTGTGTAAATCAGGGTAAAATGTACTTTATTCATAAGAAGGTTTTTTTAGGGATCTTATAACATAAAACAAACCAAACAACGGAGCCATTTTTGTTTTAAATTCTTGTGTTCAATACATGTGTTCTCGGTTGTAATTCTCTTCTTGTCACAGTAGGTGGCATACCTACTGTGTATGGTGAAGGCTAGAGGAAGAGGTAATCAATAGCAGGTGAGCAGTCTACCGTGGGAAGTAGCCTACATAGTTTTTTTTTAACCCATTGTAGCAGAAGGTTAGGACCAAAAAAGTTTCTGTCTGAGGTAAAGGCTGCAGGACAGGCCATGATTCGAAGAGTAAAAATTACTCTGATACAACTGCAACTCTTTGATGGACTTTGGTGATGGACATCCTCACTTTGTTGATTCAGGAGTAATCAACTTGGCTTTATGCTTGCATGAAGACTTTTGAGAGCACTGTGACATTGTTGTTAGTGGGCTTCAAGAATTATCTCTCCTGTCATATCACATAAATGCATCTACATCAATGACAATCCAAGTCAGCTTGTCAAACTGATATAGGCCTATATGAAAGCTAAGTCAGATATATCTTATCGACAACAAGATCATATATGGAGAGATTTAGGCCAATGTCAAGTGTTTTACATACTTTGTGTCTCCAATTAGATTTTCTGAACATTATGTAGATGCTACATCAGGACTCAGGTCTGGGTTTATTATAGAGTCAGTTATGTCTAGAGTTTGCAGTTTGGAGGGGTCACAGAAAGGCAGGATGATCCATTTTCCCACTGCTGTTGCTGTATAGACAAACACATAAGATATGATAACGTATGCCAGTATTTATGGTTATGGTTATTGGTGCACAGGAAAAATGCAGCCAAAGTAATTTATCCTTGTGCAGATGTAGAACAAATATTTTTCACATTCTAAATATTGTGGTTGTACTTTGACCTGTGGTATTTTAATGTTAACATTGCTTCCTTTTTCAAAATGTATTCTTAAAAAGAAAATAAATGTTGCTTACATTTCCTTTTAGCCTTAGTATGATAGTAAAATAAATATTTAAAAAAATCCACATCACATCAACCATTTGTGTATTGTGTGTATGAATTGAAGTGAAGAGAATCTCTCTCCACCCGCTACATTACATGTACGGGATATGATCCCAAGCTCGTCAGAGCCTGTGGATATTCATTAATACACTCTGGTTTTCCCGTCATGCTCATCTATAAGCACCTGTGCTGGCAAGCAATCACTGATAGTTTGATTGGAACCTGTCACAGAGCAGCATAGAGTCTGGAGAGATAGTCTCTTCAGTCAAAGAACCAAGGTTACAATGTAACCCTACTTTCTCTGTCGTCTCGAGACTATCTCTCCACCTTGTTACATTACTTGTACAGGGTAACTCTTTAAGACATCCCACGAGGAAACAGCGCAGCCCAAAATCCAATACACAAATGTGCACTGTTGACATGCCAACCACGGTAAGGCCCTGTAGGATGCAAGTACCATGCCTGATAGGCAGACGAGCAAGGCCTATCAGAACATGGGTAAAGGACCTAGAAAGCCAATGAACAGAGAGGCCACTTTGGGCAACCTGCAGTCACCAGACTGACTAAGGGGCCCCCCATATCTACCAATGAGGTACACACAGCACCCCTCCACAAGGGAGGGGCTACGTCAAGATGATAGAGCTCGGAAAATGTGGACTTAGATACACATAGGCAGCAAGTGAAGCTCCTTACCACAAGGCCCATGAGGTAGCCACACTTATAAGTCAAGTGTGCCGGAATCCTAGATGGCAGGCACACCACATACATGCTCTTTGAAACATGCTGGATAGCATCAACAACCCATTGAGACTTTATCAAGGGTCCACCAGGTACACCTGGTGTACTCTGTTAAGGCCCTAGCTGGGGACAAGACAAACTGGCACTACTGAACGTCATGGCCACCATCACAAGAGAGGACCATAGCTCTACTGGGACAGGAGGCCTTCAGACAAGACTTTAGGCAGGACTGTTAGATCGTGCAGAAGGACTAAGCTTGACCCCTCTGGGTGAATCTGCAGCAGTCATTGTAAACAGCCATGCATGTAGTTTGTATCCCCACGACACATCAGTGTTTCCTCTGCTCTGAGAGGTAAAGCATGGCCAATATACAGGCAGAATAGGACATGAACACTATCAGTGTTATGTGTAAATATAATGCAAAGGAAATGGCAGAAAGCACTGAAGAGTTTTTAACACAGGATTAATACATGTACAAAATGTGCAGGATTTTGTGTGATTGTAGAATCACTTAAATTATTAGGATGGTATTGGATTTGTTTGTAGACAATTCGCGACGATCTTGGTGGTGTCATATCATTTGAATTCAAATAACATCAAGGCTCAACAGCTATTATCGTCCTACATTAGATGTAAATATTTTGCTAAATATGTTTAATTTATTATAAATGTACCCATAATGAAGACTGTTTTGAAATGGATTTATGTGAAAACCAAAATACATGGAGATTCAAATTTCTCAAGTGTGGCAGATATACTAAGGGGACTGGCAGAAGATAATATTTTGACATGTTCGTTGTTTTCGTGAAAAAGAAAAAAAAAAACATCATGTGTATTTGTTACCAAGAGGCTTCTGTTGTTTAAATGACCACCAGGTGGCAATAAATGCTCAAAGACTGCACCCCATGTTCATGCATACATGTTTACTGGAGAGAGAATTTGAAAGGAAGGGATTTGCAGTCTGTCGTCAGATGTTGGTGTATCCTCAGAAACACCTTGTTTATCTGGTATTTTCAGACTTCTTATAAGCAGGGAGACCAAATGTAGTGTGAAGAAGTGCTGGGAAAGAGCTTTAGCAGTGTTAATGCTAATGACTAATTTGACCCCTGCTTGATTAACCTGCTAAGACTTGTATGATTTAGACCTTATACACACTTATTTACATAACATATTTGACCAAATAGTCCGTTTTCAAAGAACAAATATCTCCAAGCATTTGCCTGATCTCCCATGTCTAATATAATAAATAACTGCTTTAGTCAAAAACAGATCGTCTTTCTAATGAGGGGAAATTGTATCCTGCTTATTGCTGAAATAGAAGCTGGAAGATAACATTGATGGTATGACATGAAGGGAAAAAAAAGTCAATCTTAAGATGTCTGATACTGTAAATGGTATGCAGATGAATTACAGGCCTCTAAGTTCAAAAACGCTGACATTTGTTTAAAATGCATTATTTCAATCTTGTAGTACTTGCTGATATAAGGAGTCAGTTGTTTTAATTCTAATGACAGCAATAAAATGTAATTTCTCCTTATAAAAAAAGAAAATAGTGCTCTTCATAACATTCATGCACGGCCTGCTCCGAACTCCACCTCAGCATCAAGGAAGTGTGGACAACAGGAACACAAAGGAGAAATCCTTCCCGCATCTTATCCCATTTCCCCCATCTCATTTTTCTTAACAATGAGTATGGTCTTTTACATGCTCTTTTGTAAAGCATCTCCAGATAACACTAGCTATGAATTGGCGCTTAACAAATAATGATCGATTGATTGATTGAATAACAAAGCAGATACAGTAACACGCTGATGATGGTTACATGTAGCAGTTTAACTTGATATGCTGGGCCTTGACATTGGTAATTAGCATCTAATTGTGACATTTTGCATCCATATGTTTTAATTCTCTGTAAATGTAGATGCACAATATTTAGTAACATCATCTCATGTCGAGTCAGTCATACAGCTTGTAAAAAACATGTCTTCCTTTCAGGGCTGTTGACAAGAAACAGATGGACTATGATTGCTGCCTCATGTGATTTACAGAAACTGTTTATCCTCGTGCGGATTCACTTGTTGTTCTATTAGTGGGCACAGACGTTTAAGCAGCAGGGGAGCCCGGCTGCAGAGCCATCATTACATAAGTGTTCCCTATGACACGAGTGCAGGAACTAAAACTGGACAGATTGCCTTTAATTGATAGATATTTCCCCCCCACACACACACATTCACATAAACAGTCAAAGCCATTTTCCACAGGAAAAAAAATACTTTATTTTTACACTTATATAATGTATATCAACATTTATAGACAAAATATGTACATCAAACATCTTTCATGTAGGTCCCAAAATATAAAATCTTAAGTACCTCTTTCTATAGAAAACTAGTCTTCTGGTAAAACGTTTTACATTCACTTCTCTTCACCTCGCTCCTTTGAATCCAGTATTCATAAGCAGTACAGAGAATAAACATCTGAGATTTATCAGCTTTTCACACGTAAAAGGCAACGGCAAGAACAAACACCAGGTTTGACTTGAGCAGAAACAGATGCATGATGAGTATGCAGACCAGGTCCAGCACAGTGCTACAGTATGTACACAGTTTCTGAGTACACAACGTACAAATGTCCACTTTGTATCTCTCCGGACGGACAGACTGCAAGAACAGGTATCAAAAATAGAAATGTACAAGAAGTCTATGAACAATAATTACAGAAAAATCCATCTTAACTGTCTGTTTTTGTCAATGAAAAACAAGACTTCTCATTCAGTGTGGTCATGTGCTGGCCCATTCCTTCATTCGTGCATCAGGTGTACCCTTTACTATTGTCTGTACACACTTGAGGAAACCCTTGAACTTTATGGTTTCCGGTTTAAATGGCGTTTTCAGTAATGACAATAGTGACCTAAAGGACATAGGCGACAAACTCTGGGTGAATTATTAAGTCTAACATTTGGTGCAACACTTTTCTTAAGTACAAAGATGCTGTGTCTTGCAGCTACAAGTGAGTGCATCAGTGTCATCTGCATTTATACTTTTAACAGCAGCATCTAAAATCTTTCTTTACATTCAACCGAGTGTGTGTGTGTGTGTGTGTGTGTGTGTGTGTGTGTGTGTGTGTGTGTGTGTTTGCGCAGGGCAGGTCCAGTCTATATGATACATTTGCATTGAATAAAACAACTGAGCTTTAAACATTCAACCAGAGCTTTGTATCCTCTCCTTTCCACCTCCTCTTGATCATTTCTACAAGTCTTCTTGTTTTGTGAGGAACAGAGGTCAGGAAAAAGGAGGGATTATGGAAAGGCTCAGTCATGTTCTCTTTCCTACTATCGTCTTTGATCCTGGGTACTAGAACAGGATAGTCTCTTCACCCTTTATCTTATCACTCAGTCTTTGGTTTCCAGGTTGAGGGGTGGTACCTGCTTTAGTGCCTGAAGGAGGGCAGGGGAGTCCATGGGGGTCTGAGATATGGATGGTGCTGGAGAGCCTCCTCTTGGAGACAACACAAGCTGAGGTGGAGGTGGCCTTTCGCTGGATATGGCAGATGCAGAGCCTCCCATCCCAGAGTAGAGCATGGGCACTGCTCCAGGGTACCAGCACTTTTCCAGCATGGGCAGGTAGGCTGCAGCCGAGGGAGGAATGAGGTAGAAAGGCATACAGAGGGGATGTGGAGGAGGGGGTGGATGATTGGGAGATACACTCATGTAGCTACCGAAGCCACTTGAGGACGATGAAGATTCCCCACCTGAGAGCTGCTCATCCTCAGACGACTCCACCCGGGCTCGTTTGTGGCGGAGCTCATCATCCTCTCGCTTCAGTGCTCGCTTCAGCTGGCTCTCATGCCCGTAGTAATCTGGACGAGCCTGCTGAGCCCCCGAGTCGTTCTTCTCCAGCTCCCCTCCATAGCCGCTGTCTGTGTCTGTATCACTGCCACTCTGCTCACTGCTGGTTGGAGCGTAGGCCCGCTGAATGACGGGCACGCAGTTCCTCCTGTAGCCCTCACTGGGTTTGGGTGGGAGGCTTGTGGCCATCTCCTTGTTGGGTTGGTGCTGGTGGTAGGTGGGCATCTCCTCCGGGCGAGGGCTTGCAGGAGTGCGCGGTCGGACTGGGCCTTGCAGCACCTCTGCAGCCACCTTGTGGAGGTGACTGATGACATGGGATGGCGAGAAGTCTTCGTCAGTCTCATGATTGGCAAGATACTGAAGAATTTCCTTGGCACACATATGGAAGCCAGAGCGGAACATCTCTTCAGACTTCTCTTGGCTGACAGCAGGCTGCTCTGTAAACACAAAAGAGGAACCACACAGTGCATCAGATACAGTCGTAGGTAAAAATCTTCTTATTTCATATTTTTTGGACTAATTAACTTGCAGTTGTACATAATCCTGTCATTGTGCTTTCAACTAAGTCATCTGCATTCCATCCAATAACACTATCCTGTTCCACATGCATTTTGATATGTGTGCAGGATCTTTAGCTCACCAATTTGCATGCCGTTCTGCAGGGCGAGGATCTTCTGCTGCTGCTGCTCCAGAAGAGAGTTGAGCGCTTTCACATGCTTGAGCGTTAGCTCTAAAACCACGGCCTTCTCCAGGTGTCCCAGAGTCTGTAGGAAACACACAGCGTCAGTATATCCTCTCCTCTTATGTAACAGAGACTACACTGTACAATTCATGTATGCAGGATTTTGGCTGTTCTAAAATCAGCAAACATAGAGGCAAAACTAACCAAAAACGCATGTATTTCATATAATATTAGTCCATATAAATTCCATAAATAATAAATGTCCTGTATGAAAAGTAATCATATTACAATTGCATGTTATTGTTAACTGATGAAACTTTTTTTTTTAACCCTCCAGTTTAAACAATGACACACGTCCTCATCAGTCGTTAGTCAGATTGCTGACGCACTCAGCACAGATGGTGTAATACCAGGAAACAGCCACAAGGTGGCGCATGCCGCATAATGCAGTGAATCATATTCTCCCTCCCTGCAGCGACTCCAACAACATGAACTCACCGTAAGTTTCAGGTGCTCTGGTAATAAATCTTTCAACTGAGCGATGCACTCGTTTATCCTGTCACGCCTTTTCTTCTCAATAAGTCGATGAGGCAGCTTGTAGGTTTCCTGCAGCAAAAACACAAAAGAGCATTCGATGGGTTAATTCAGCGGATCTGTGAAAGCACAAGCAGCCCTCTGTGATCACAGGCAGACACACCGATATGGACGACTCTAGGAGTTATGTCATAGCAGGAATTAGGTCAGCCATTTCTGGGACTACAGGACTACTGCCAGCACACAGCCCTCCTTTAAGTTTACACCTTTTTCATGAAACATCTGGTAATTATCTACCAAAAGAAGTATACAATACACAAAATAAGTACGAACCTTGCTCTCATCTCCTCTCTTCATTCCCCGCCTGGGTTTATATACATACATCGGGTAATCCATCCTATAAAAAAGAAGAAGAAGCGAACAGTGAGATATGGTTCGTCCAAGAAGCAGAAATAAAAATCAAGAAGAAATCTTTTCTACACAGAGCCGTTCCGTCAAAAGACTTTTCAAAGTAGAACTTACCCGTGCACGTCTGACAGATCAGCCTGGTGTTTGGACAGGGGAGGAGGTTGTGCGCTTGGAATTCGCTCCATTCTTTTACTCCAGTCACGCAATTAAAGTCGGCGTACTTTTCCAATACAGTCACAAATAGCCTAAATTCGCATTTATTTACCCTTGTAGATCAAGAGGTAGAAAAATGCACCAAAATGCTTTTTTAAAAAAAAAAAAAACAGGTGAAATTTTCAGTTAATTTTCTCCTGATTCATTACTAATCTAGTCAAGTCGTTTTGGTGAAGTTGGTCCCGGCGATCTCCACCCGTGATCAGTCCGCAGGAGGAAGGCAAGCCCTCTTTGGTGGCGCGATGGGAAAATGGGGGAGGACAGAGCGACGAGTTAAATAAACCCTCTGACTCTCCGCTTAGCATGACCTACCTCTGTCACATGAGGCTCACGTGTTAAACGGCGCTGTATCCTCGGCGGAGGGACCGCCCACTTTGTAGCGATAAGGAGCCTCAGTGGGCGGAAGGCTGCGGACGTCAGAGTGGGGGCGGTGCGGTTCGGATCCCGTGTACCACCATGCTGAAGTGTATGGAAACAAGCCTGAGCTAGCCACGGCTCGGGCAACGTGCACAGATCCAGAGCAGGAGTTCAACAGGCCCGTGGCACGGGACCAGTGCGTATGGTACCGATGGTCCTGCCAATAAAAACAGACAATAACACAGTTCAAACACTGTGGTAGCCATAGGCGTAGTGTTGTTATTGTGCAGAAATGATGTCATTCAGTGTCATGAAGTCAACATTTTACTGAGTGCTTTAAGAGTGGTAAAATTATTATTATTATTTTTTTTACTCCTTCATGAATGAAATGCACTGCTTTTAATTTACTTATAACAAGTAAGCTTTATCTTTTTCCTTAGTAAACTACGATGTTATGCCTATAGGCTTACAGTCCGTTCAGCCCATGCAGTGTTTCTGTTTTTTTGAATTTTTTGAAAGAAAGTGTTCGATTATGAAGGGATGTCTCAAAAATACAAAAAAATAAATCAGACATTTATCATTTTGAGATATGTATATTCTTTTGTAGGAATAGACGCTGCGTTTGAACCCTTATTAGCCTTTTTACTTCCAGTTAGATTTTAATTTCTTGCCCTAAATCTACTTGCCAAATACTGCCTTAGCCCATACAATACTCATGCTTCAAATAATAATAAAACAGTCGGCTTCATTCAGTAGTCTATATATTGATGTAATTGTCAGCAGAATGCAGGTGAGCTTTATATCGACAGTGCTACCCCAGCACAAACACCACGTGCGTGGATGAGTGCGTGGAGACCTCGTTTGTTGTCATGAGGCGTTGCCGGCTGTCACGTTGATCTCCTCATGGACCCAGGAGCCTGCTGAGCATGCAGGGCACATCCAGCAGGTCAGTACATCCAGCACACAGCGGCTGCACCTGTCTGCTGCAGGCTGGGCGCACGTTCACATCACACCAGGGCCAGGACCACCTTACCCTTTAGAGACGCAGGTAAACATGAAGTCATTTTACTGTAGCAAATGAAAGAGGCCTGTAAGGACAAGTTAACTGAAATTTACATGGACTTTACCATGACTCCTTTAATATTGAAATTCTAAGAAAATATATAGCCTACTATTATTTATTTTATAGAGTTTTGAAAGATGTAAATTTAGTGAACAGATGCCTTCAAACCTCTTAATATCAATTCAATATTTTTGCATAACAACTGTAGGACATTTTGGGGGGATGCTTTGGGTTTGATCATCTTTGAAAAATTCAACACACAAGAAAGAGTTAAGTGTCTAAAAAGATGAGACATTTCTAGCTTAATGATCTATAATCAGGATAATAACCCTAATACATTAAAAGTGCATGTTTTTTTTTTTTTAAAGCTGTAGGTGATCAAAACAGAAAGTACAAGATTATAAGAGAATAATTGTGAGGTTTCAATTTTTCTTATTTAACAAATGTCTCATTATTTTTGCCAGGTAACCACTTTTAGCACAATCGCTGCAGTAGATGAATCATAAAGTATTTACTCACTATTCTTAGTGTAATGGGACAATTAATTGATTTCAATGACAAGAACGAAAAAACCAGCTCTGCAAGCCTGATAAAACTCACCAGGTCACACAAACAAGCACCACTCACCTTTCTGCATGTATACAATTTGGAAAGCAGATCCTGCATTCATTTGGATAGATTAAGTTTCACCAACTCTTTTAAGATTATTTTAACTATTTACACACAATTTACAGGTGTTGAATGTTGTATTTAAAATGATTAGTGAAGAAGTGACAACTGCCACATGACAACCTTTTTAGTTTTGGAAAATGATTCTCTTTCAGAGTAACAAGTGGCATCCTTCATTCTTAGTAAGAGCATCCAAAGGCTCACATGCTATGACCATTATAGGTTAACTAAATTCCTAGAGTGTAGTGAATTTAATGCAATTGGGATGGGCTCCAGGAATCAGAAATTGCAATATGGGTGAAACACAGGTCTCAGTGATTTAACTGTAATTAGATAAAAAACAATGATGGAAAGCCCCCTTGAAGATAATCCGTGCAGATTTAACACGATTTAATACATAGAAAGATGCAGACAATGCTGCCCCTTTTCAGTTCAATTATATACCTTAAACATTCACAGGGAGCATTGTGGAAACCCCCTGTTTGTATATGATGTTAATAATTAGAAAATACTGCACATAGTCTTCCCGTGCTGTGAAAATAATTCAAAAAAGGTCACATTAAAGTATCTGAGAATCTGGTTAGTTCTCAACATGCTAACAAATTTACTCATGCAACTTGGTGATGAGATAAATGAATTTACTCATTTGTGACAGACAACAGATTAGATTTCAAAGTTCATTTGTCTTAAATTCTCAAACTGACTTCTCTGCCTGAGGCTCTTCATCTAATAGCAGCGCATCAGAGGGATGGCACCACTCAAGTTGTCAATAAACAAGTGGTTACACAGACAAAGTACACTTCAGGAATAATAACAACATCCCTTTGACCATTAGTCCCACATGTTTTCAAAAATCACCCCAACAAAAAAATATTTTTACACACTTCTTTATTTAAATAGACTCCAGGAATGGAATGTACAATCAGACACAAACCATTTTATAATATAAAGTTCAGTTTGGTCAAGCAGCACGCCAAAAAAAACAACAACTTCATCTTCTTTCTTTCTCCCTCACATGCACCCAATCGCTCAAACAGTCATTCTCCTGTGGATCTTTTACACACTTACCAACCTAAACAAAACTATGTTTGCGTGCTACAAAAAAAGAAATCAGTGCTTTAAGGACTAAATGTATGAAAGGAAGATTAAATAATTCAGTGCAGAGAAAACTATTCAACTTCATTTAAGTTTCTCCCAAAATCCTCGAATCCCCTCCTTGGAGCTACAGTACTATTCCTATGTGACTTCACATCACGACTATAACAAAGCACACCATGAAACTGGCTTGGAAATGAAGCAGTCATATGAATTCCTTCTGTTTCTCTGTAGGTTTTTGTGATTTTATTATTACTCAAAATAATAGTAATGGAAAAAGTTCTATGAGCTCAAAATGATTTCACAATGTTCGAGTATAACCTTCATCTGAGATAGCAAAGACTTACAAAAGACATACTTGCCCAAAAAGTTAATTCAAAAACACTTCAGATTTTTTCACAGTTGCCGTTTGTCTCCACATTTTAAATAAAGATAATATAATTTGAAATATAAAACCAAACAGTTACCAAAAACAGTTTTTATCTGAATAAGATATTGCATATCATTGAGCCTTCCTATTGCTGTCGGACAAATGCTAAATATTGAATGTGTTTTAGAGTTCAAACAAACCTTGAAATCCACATGTGACCTGAGTTTGCTGGTGCAACACTGAGCGTTGAAACCTCAAATATTCAAGGCCACTTGAGAGGAACTGTCCCTCAGAAGAATGGCTGAGCTTTGGCATGTTGTTAGTGTGGTAAAACACAGAAAAGGCATTCTGGGTAGTAAAGCTGAAGTCAGTGTTATTAATCTCTGAAAACTTACAGGACTGGCTTCTCAGGTCCTGAGGCACTTGATGCACACTCCACCCACACCGACACATCCTCACTACAGGCTGTGAGTAACACACTCACATAGCTCTCACTTCAGACACACACTCAGAGGCAAACATGTTGTAGGAGTGTCTGGACAAGTGTACAGTCAGACGCTGACCTAAATACAAACTGGGTGGACATGTTTTGGCTTTCTCCTGACTAACATGGGTTACACTGTCTGGAGTGCTCAGGCACTGGTGAAACTGGACCCCCGAGGCCCTCAGGCAGGCTGCTGGGGATTAATGTTCATATGAGGTGGATGACCAAGAAGACCAATTCTTTGTTTCTGTTTCCTCTGCTCTGTCATCTGCACAGAAAAACAAAAAGAACAGTGTTAAGTATCCAGCTGCAATGCAATGTATTATCCTTCGGTCTCTTCTGATTCATGCTGTAGGAAAAGGGATCGTGTGAGGATTTTAGGACCCCTAGGAGTGCTTAAGAGCATTATTTTTAGGACTGGGTCCCTGTGTTTGAATTCAATGGGGGTTACAGTATACACACTAAATCTGACAGTATCATACTGCTCTGTGGTATTAACAAGTTAGTAAATATGCATCTAAACAACGCATGATTTTTTAAGTAGAGGAAACCTCACAGAGTTGATAAATTGTGAACTTAAGGGGAAAGCTATGTTATTCTTTACCTCCAGTCGATACATAGTCTGATATGTATTAGAAGCAACAACCTCCTTGGCTGCCAGCCTTCACATGCATGTAAAACTGTAGATGCTCATTTGGCTACTTGAGGCTGGCTCCCCGTGAGTCAATTGAAATAAAGGCCACACTATATTGCCCAACTCTATAGAAGAATGAAACATGTTAACAGCATTCTATAACAAAAGTTAAAGTCTCTGCAGCTCAGTTGTTCAATAAAACTTTGATAGATTTGGGTCAGAGACTAATTCGAATGAATTAACAACCCCAGTCACCTAACATCACAAACTGAATCTCATTCTGTTCGAAAGAATTCATCTGCCATGTTTATTGGCCAGCTAATGAGTCTGCATTGAGCATCTACTGGATTACAGTATAACTTAGTTGCTTGCTTAACTCCTACCCCTTAAATATACTCACTCTTAGCTTAAAACAAACAAAATGGCAACCTCCATTATGCCATGTTCAAGGCTTCAAAACGGTCTTTCCCAAAACCGGTTCACCCTGGTTCCAATCTGTAGGCTAAGCTAGGCTAACTGGCTGCTGATAGCTTTATATTTAACTTCACATAACTGAGTGTGGCAACGACCTTATTATCTAACTTTTAGAAAGAAAGCAAGGAAGTTTGACGTGTGCTGCTGCCCTCTTGGTCAAGTCACCCTTGTGAAAGA